CAGAAAACCCCACAACATGGAGCAAGATGGGAGCTCATGAGGGCCCCATGAGGCAGGAGGCCCGGTGTGTTTTTTTGTTTATGCTTTTGCTTATTTTCCAAATGTTTGCATAATAACGGTGTTATTTCCCTGATAGGAACTTTTTTTTTTTTACTTTGTCCAAGCCTAGATTTGAGTTCTGTTTTTGCAACTTCCTTTTCTACTTTCTCCTTGTAGGAGTAATTGTCAGTTTCTACTTGACTTACTGTGTGACCCAGTTCTTGATTACCCCTACAACTTAGTCACCTTGTAGGAGAAAAGAGTTATTTTTCAATTCAGAGTTCATTGAATTCACATATTCAGTGTAGAATGCTGGAAAACCAGAAGAGCACCAAGGTGAGCGCGGCACAACCCCCACCTGGTCACATACTGTTGCTGCAGACCCTGTTCTGTCGCCATGTATGGGCTTTGCTTATTGTATTGGGGTGCAGAAGTGTTTAGTCCTACCCTGCTGAGAGGCAGTGGAATAATTGGATTTAAATTTGTTTTTACTGCCCTTCATCCTCATATCTAAGCCATCATCACGTCTGTCAGGTTCTGACTGAGCGGCTGTTAGGGATCTGGGGCAGAGAGGAAATGCAGCCTAGCGTGGCAGTGAACGATGAATGGTCTTTAGCTGGCCAGTAGTACATGGTTTAGTCTTTGCTCTTGTGTGCGTTATCGTCTTCCTGTCAGTCACTTTCTGTTAGAGTTTTTTGTTTTGTTTTGCTTTTTAATTGAGATATAGTGTAAATAAAATAAAACATGCTGTTCTTTTTGTTTAGGTAAACTTTACATGCAGTAAAATGCGTAGATTTAACTGTACAATTTAGTGAGTAATCACCTTCTTCTGTTTCCATCACCTCCAGAAAGTTCCCAGAGTACATAAATCTTAAGTTTATAGCTCGAATTTTACATACATATCTACCCATGTGACCCCTACCTAGATCAAGATATAAAAAATTTTTAGAGATCAGACTCAATATCACTTCCTCATAGACACACACATACTTACACACGCTATTAGTCAGGGTTGTTTTGGATATTCTAGTATTAAATCTGCTTCCTGAATTCTGAAGTCACTTGTCATTGTGGGTAGCCTTGCAATCCAGCCCATTTCCTCTGGCACTACACACACACACGCACACACACACTCACATACTCTTGCTGCTCTGCAAGTATCCCCCAAGGAATAAATTGTTTTGTCTCTCGTAGATCTGGGACACAGCGGGACAGGAACGGTTCCAGTCTCTCGGTGTGGCCTTCTACAGGGGCGCAGACTGCTGCGTTCTGGTATTTGATGTGACTGCCCCCAACACATTCAAAACTCTTGATAGCTGGAGAGATGAGTTTCTCATCCAGGCCAGTCCCCGGGATCCTGAAAACTTCCCTTTTGTTGTGCTGGGAAACAAGATTGACCTTGAAAATAGACAAGTAAGTGCTGAAGATGGAGGGAATGATCCCAGACACCTGCTCCTGGGGCCTTGTGAACTTGGAGGGTTCTTTTTTTTGTTTGTTTTGTTTTGATTTTTTGTGACCGGTAAGGGGATCATAACCCTTGGCGTGGTGTCGCCTGCACCGCGGTCAGCCAGTGAGCGCACCAGCCATTCTTATACAGGATCCGAACCTGCGGCCTCGGCGCTCCCAGTGCCTCACTCTCCCGAGTGAGCCACAGGGTCGGCCCTGAACTTGGAGGGTTCTGTGCTAAGCCACAGTGGCTCTGGAAGGTGTTGGTGTACTTCGCCCAGCCCAAAGACTAGCCAGCTTTGAGGACCAGGACCCAGACCACCTGACTTTAAGTCCCTTTACTGCCCCCAGCTTCCTGCGACTTTCAGCCATTGTCTTTGCTCTCAGAGCCTTAGTTCCCTTTCTGCAGTTTGAAGGAAGGAATTAGATTTTGTCACTCGGTGCCCTCCTAACGCCTCAAGGGGCTGCTTGGATCTCCGTGTGTGCAGAAGATTGCTCTGGTGTATTTTCAGATAACATTTCTGTTGGAAACATAGACTCTCACTAATTATAGCTGGGTGTATTTCTGCCCATTGATCCCTTTTCTGTCCTTCCCAAGTGACTTATTCCTTGTTTCTTGGCTGGAAATGGGCTAGAGGTTGGGGAAGGAATTAGGATCTGTGGGAGGCAGGGGTGTTGGTGAGAGCTGCAGAATTCCATGGCACTTGAGTGTGTGGCACAGGTGACATAACATTAGGAGTAGTGGGGAAGAGACCACAAACCTTAAGACCAAGCTGCCACGCACTTCCCGTGCTCGAATCTCTGAGGTCCCAGGAGAGAGAATTCATTTCTTCCTGGCCTACCTGCTTATTGCCTTTCACACACTGCTTTTATGTTGAACTGAGGGTCAGAAGGTGTGGGTTGTGGACAGAGGGAGGTGTTGAGTTTGAATCCTAGCCTTACTAAGCATAGCCAGCAGAGTGGCCCTGGGTGAGCAGCAGGTCTCCCCAACACCCTCATTCCCCACATCTGTTCCCTCACATGTGCCACCTGTAGACGAGGGCGATAACCCTGGAGGATTGAGTCAGTGCTTGCTGCTTCTGTTATGAGCACACGTGCCCTGCTTCCTCTTCCCAGGTGGCCACGAAGCGGGCACAGGCCTGGTGCTACAGCAAAAACAACATTCCCTACTTTGAGACCAGTGCCAAGGAGGCCATCAATGTGGAGCAGGCTTTCCAGACGATTGCACGGAATGCACTTAAACAGGTGGGTCTCCAGCAGCTGTCTGGCTCCCTCTAGTGATTGCCTGATCACTGACCCACCTCCTACCTGCACTCCTTGTCCTTAACCTTCTTCCTGATTCTTTCTTCCATATTGCCAGAAAAACCTGTGTGTTTATCTGGAAAGATAATGATATATTATGCTTAAGCTTCCAGAAATTCCACTTTCTTGTCAACAATCTAAAAGATGGAGGGCAGTGAAGACTTTGGCTGAGGCCACCTTTGTCTGACTGGGCTTGTTCCTATTTTGTTTTATGCTAGTAGGAGCTCAGGCCACTAGGAGGCCCCTAATCAGATTGCTGCTTCTATTTAAGGAGGAGATGGCTAGCTACCAAAAAAAAGAAAATAAAAAGTCTAGCCTGTTAGCTCAGATGGTTAGAGGGTGGTGCTCTAACACCAAGGTCAGGGGTGTTTGATCCCTGTACCAACCAGCCACCCCAAAAAAAGGAGATAAACTTGAATTTGAATCCCAGCTCTGCTACCAGTCATTAGAGCTAAGTTTTTTTTTTTTTTAAGGAATTTTTTACTTGAAATGTACTTAATTTATACATATTTATGGGGTATAGGGTTATATTTCAATTCATATATATAATGTGTGATGATCAAATCAGGGAAGTTTGGGTTTTTAAAATCATATCTGAGCTTCTATCCCCTCACCTGTAAAATGGGAGTACCTGCTTTGCAGAGTGATGGTGAAGATTAAATGAGACGGATTCTTTCAACTCCCAACGTACCAGTGACCAGTAACTTTTTTTTTCCTGGGAACAGTTAAGTGCACAACAGAAACAATAAAGAAAATGCAGGAAACCTTTATTCAAGGAATTCAATTTTCTAGACCTCTAGTTAACTTTTCTTATGATCAGATATAACTACTTACATGTGAGTTGAGACTGTTTGAGCACCTCTGTGAGGGCCAGTAGTGAGTTAAGGCAGGTCCCGAGGCATCCTCCGACGCTGGAGTGGAGCGGGATGCAGAGAGCACTGAAGGAAGCAAGTAGTGGCAGTAAAGGGCGGTGCAGGTTCTGCAGCTCCAGGAAGAAGCTTGGTGTGTCAAAGGTGGTGGTTCTCAGCTGGACAGGGCACCTGGACATGCAGGCAGAGAGATATTTGGAATAGGTTGTTCTAAGGACAGGGGAAATCCTGGCATGGGTGGGGGCTGAACTAAGTGTTCCACAATGAAATGAACAGTCCTACCCCATGAGGAATTGTTCCACCCAAAGTGCCAGGAGAGCCCCTGCTAAGAAACAGATATAGTGTAAGGAACTGAGCAGGATGCAGACTTGGGTCTTTTTTGCCGTCCACCCCCAACCCCCACCCTCACACCTAGATTAAGGATGTATTGTTTTTTTCTTAATGTTCATACAGTTGCATGGGAATTGAGACACGTGTAGGGACACGTTTTCCACTTGTTCCCTGTTGACTGGCCTCACTGTTGGAGTTTTACTCTCTGATCATTGCTGTCCCTGTTGCTTTAGAATAATGCTTTTATTTCTTCAAGCTAGCCCATTAGGAGAAAGAGTGTTAGACTGAAGGATATGTTTTATTATTAAGAGATGTTGCCAGATGGCTTTCCCCCGGAGGGATACTTAAGCTCCCTCCAGCAATGTGAGTTTTCTTTACCCTACTTCCCACCAGCAACTGCTGACACTGTGCCAGTCTTTGAGTGTGTAAATTGCTACGCTACCTTCATAGCTACTGGTCCCTCTGAGCCCCGTTTGGGTTTTCTCTGCCGAGGATGGCTGGTACATTAGCACTGCATTGCAAGTGATTTTTCCAATTCTGTTGTCTTTCTTGTATCCTTTGGCCATAGAAAAAATAGTAATTTTTTAGTCAGGTACGTCATTTTAAATTTCTAGATTTCTAGAAATGTGTCTAGATTTTCTCCCATGCAGCTTGAATTTATTTGGCTTATGGCAAGAAATCGAGGCTTGCCCTTTCTGAAAGTTCTAAGCACTAGTAGCCCATTTTCAAACAAACCGTTCCCTGCTGAATGGAGTCATGCCCTTTATTGTATTAAGTGCTCATGTGTGTTGGGATCCATTTCTGATCTGTCTTCATCTGTTCTGGCAATGACCACATTTCTTTGCCTGTACCATCTTGATTTGACTGCCTTTGTGGTACAGTTTGACCCCGGTAAAGTAAGTTCACTATTTTTTGTATTTTTTCCTTGGATATTTTGGGGCATTTTCCATTTAAATTAATTATTTTGTTCCACTTCCACCTTTTTCCTCCCTCCTCTTCCCCCCGCCCCAAATAAAAACCTATTGAGATTATGATTGAAATTGCATTACAACTATTATATTAGTTTGCTTAGGCTGCCATAATGAAATACACAAACTGGGTGGCTTAAACAAGGGACATTTTGTTTTCTCACAGTTCTGCAGGATGGAAATCCATGATCAAGGTGTTGGCAAATTTAGTTTTTGGTGAGGGCTGTCTTCCTGGCTTAGAGACTGCCATTTTCTCACTGTGTCCTCACATGGCCTTTCCTCTGTGTGTAGAGAGAGACTGAGAGAGAGAGAGAGCACGCATGACCAAACTCTCTGGTATTGTCTCTCCTTAATAAGGACACTAATCCTGTCGGATCGGAGCCCTACCCGTGTGACCTCATTTAACCTTATTCCAAATTCAGCCCTACTGGGGGTTAGGATTTCGACATATGAATTTTGGGACACAAACATTTCAGTTCATAATAGATATTATTTTAGGTTTGTTTTATATCCTTCAGTAAGATTTTATAATTTTTCAGATCCTTTGCCTTCATATTCAATGAATTCCTAGTACTGGTGGGAATGTAAAATGTTGCTATTCATTATTATGAGTTTCACAAAGTAGAAACAACCCAAATGTCCATCATCTGATGAGTGAATAAACAAGAGGTGGTTTATCTGTGAATTAACTAGAAGAGTGTTCAGCCGTGAAAAGGAATGAAGTCCTGATACACGCTAGTGAAAGAAGCCAGTTGCAAATGATCCCATGTTGTATGGTTCCATGTAAGGGAAACATTCAGAGCAGGCAAATCTATTGGGCCAGAAAGTAGATGAGCTGCATGTGGTCCATGAGCCTGCTCAGATCTCATCTGTGATCTGATCAAGAGCATCAGTCAGCTTCTGTCCTCATTGCTCAGTGCAGACTGCTGCTCCTCCAGCAGAATTTCTCTCTTCACATTGACCTGGATATATCACATAATCTGTTTTCCTCTTGTTCGTCCTTTGAAAGTTGAGCATATTCAGCCGGAGCACTCTTCTCACTGCTTGGTCATGTTCCACTTTCCAGCTCCCTACCCACTATGCCCACGTAGATGTTTGCCATTCCTGGACAGAAAGGGCCAGAGCTTAGAAGTGGAATTTCCTTGTGCCCTGAGTAACCAGCCTCTTTCTCTCTCCATGACCAGGAAACGGAGGTGGAGCTGTACAATGAATTCCCCGAACCCATCAAACTGGACAAGAATGACCGGGCCAAGACCTCAGCAGAAAGCTGCAGTTGCTGAAGGGGCAGTGAGAGTAGAGCACAGAGTCCTTCATAGACCAAGAACACACTTAGGCCTTCAAACACAAGCCCTCTCCTCTTCCAAACAAAACATAAATTGATCTCTCACATCCAGCTGCCAAAAGAAACCCCACCAAACACAGTTGCACCCCCACACATAACAGACACACATACAGGTCTTATGCAACAGACCAACAGCCCATGCCTGTGATGGCTCCTTGGGGTCTGCCCGCGTACTCCCCACCCCCAGCCCTTGTGTATGGCAGCAGAACAGGCTGGCTGTAGAAATCGCTCTCATGTGGAGTTGGCATTGGAAGCTTACTCTTTTTGTCCACTGGAGAGAGAGAACTGTTTACAGTTAATCTGTGTCTAATTGGTTATCTGATTTTTTTAACGGTCTTGTGGTCTTTTTACCCCCACCCCTCCCTCTTTGAAGGCTACCCCTTGAGAAGGCTGGTGCCCCACGCTTCATTACAGGCTCACACCCAGTCTGATCAGGCTGAGTTTTGTATGTATCTGTTAATGCTTGTTACTTTTAACTAATCAGATCTTTTTACAGTATCCATTTATTATGTAATGCTTCTTAGAAAAGAATCTTATAGTACATGTTAATATATGCAACCAATTAAAAATGTATAAATTAGTGTAAGAAATTCTTGGGTTATGTGTAAGTCCTGTAATGCAGGTGTGTAAGATGGAGGGTTGAACCCTGTCTGGACTGCAGATGTTAGTGACTCAGAATTCGGAAATTCAGCTAGCGACAGTATTCTGTACAGTAGACACAAGGATTATGTATGCCTTTTATCAAAGACTTAAGAGCCAAAAAGCTTTTTATCTCTCCAGGGGGGAAACTGTCTAGTTCCCTTCTGTGTCTGAATTTTCCAAAAGGTTGATTTGCATAATACAGTAGTATGTGCAATGGATAAATGGCTGTTATTTCAGAAATTAAAATTCTCATTTTCCCTTTTTTCCCCCTGCTTCACACTTCAAAACTCCCCTGTTAGATCAGCATCTTATTATAAGAGGGAAAGGAAAAGCCCAACAGATCTGTCGTAGTGATTTTACCTTTGTTCTAGAAGGCGCTCCTTTCAGGGTTGTGGTATCCTTAGGTTAGCAGACCTTTTTTCCTTCTCCCCGCCCATTTCCCCAGTGTTGCCTATTATTAACCACTTCTTTGGTTGGAACCTTGGCGGTTCTGCTCCCTTCCTAGGACCTGCCCTGCATTGTAGCTTGCTTCATGGAGTTCTTCCCCTTTTTTCCAAAGGTCTACATTCTAGGGTGTGGGCTGAGTTCTTCTGTAAAGAGATGAACGTGATGCCAATAAAACTTAACAAGAACAAAGATCATTTGCCTTTGACCTGTCTTTTTTTCCCTCTTCCAGAACCTTGGCTCAGTAGAGACCACATTAGTTGATCATGGCCAATGCTTGATCAAGCAACAGAGACCTCCTTAGCTGGGCACGTGGGGGCTTTGAGGCTGACAGGCCTTCTCATATGCAACCCTGTATTATCTGTCCCTAGTTTTTTTGGGTTTTTGTTTTTAATCACAGTATTTGGGTGTGTGGGGACCCTGAATGAAAAAAGCATTGTGTCCCTTTAGAGGAGCAGCCACAAACTCCTAGTGACCCATAGGCCATGCACGGCTTGTAGGTATGACTATAACCTAGCCATGTGTTGTGTATTTTATTTCTTTAATTGACTTAGATGCTAATAACACTTAGATATCACATAAATGTGCATTTTTTTATGAGAGGAAGATTTGGCAGCAGGACCCCTGTATTCTAACATATATAAGTCATCAGCTGGAAATGAATAGATGGTACCTAGAAATAATTTTATAAAATAGTAGTGGGTCAGTTTAGGTTTGGAAAAAGTGCACCACTGACTTAGATCTTGAATTCTGCTTTTCTGTGCTTTTCTACATTTCCACTTTTCAAGCTTGTCAGTTGCTTTCTTTCCTCATGCCTCTTCTTGGTACATACTTCATGTGTTAAGAATAGCATTCTTGGGGCCGAGCCCGTGGCACACTCGGGAGAGTGTGGCGCTGGGAGTGCAGCAGCGCTCCCTCCGCGGGTTTGGATCCTATATAAGGATGACCGGTGCGCTCACAGCGCTCACTGGCTGAGCGTGGTGCGGCCGGTCTCAAAAAGGACAAAAAAAAAAAATAGCCTTTTTGGAAGCTCAGATGCTGTGAGTAGATCATCCACAACTACAACTCCATCCTGGTTGATGATAGCATTTTTGGAAGCTCAGATGCTGTGAGTAGATCATCCACAACTACAACTCCATCCTGGTTGATGGAGCATGCCTTTCATCTTTCTCTGGTTCTCTATTTTGTGCTATGCCTTATTTGGGTGTTACTTGGCCTTTAGAGGAGCAGAGGCTTCTCCAGCTTTGGGCCCAGTGATGCTCACATCTATAAATCAGTCAACTATTTCTGTGATTTTGTTCCTTTGGCCCTGACCTTGAACGTGACATTGAAATGGACCTTGACCTCTGACCTCGACCCTCATCCTAAAACTGGTGATCATTCTGACATTGACTTTAGCTTGATGTGACCTTGAATGTAACCTTTTAAATGATCCAGATCCCAAAGATTGTCCTTGCCATACCTCACCCTAATTTTTTAATTTATTTTTTTTTTGGTGGCTGGCCAGTAAAGGGATCAAACCCTAGACTGATATTATCAGCAACATGC